GACCTGGGCCGAAGGCAGACACTTAACGACTGAGCCACCCAGGCGCCCCAATAAATAAAATCTTAAAAGAAAAGATTTTTAAAAAATAATTTCTACTCCCAATGTGGGGCTCAAACTCACGATCCTGAGATCAAGAGTTGTACGCTCTATACACTGAGCCAGCCAGGCACCCCAGTTTTGGATGTTTTGAATTTGAGATGCCCATTAGATGCCAAAAGAAGATGTTGAGTAGAGTTGGACACATAAGTCGGAATTCAGGGGAGAGGTCCATCCTGGGAGCCATCAGGATGTAGAGGTAGATATCGTGTGACTGGAGAAGCTCACCAAGTGAGTGAGTGCGGAGAAAAAAAGGGATCTGAACCCTGAACCACGGGCCCCTCTGATGTTTAGAGAAGGAGGCAAGGTGGAACCAGTGAAGAAGGTTGAGGAGAAGACCAGAGCGGAAGGAGGAAAACCAGCAAGCCTGAGGCTGTCATGGCCATGAGAAAAAAAAATGAGGAGAGAGTGAGAGATGGTGTTCATTGCTCGTCAAACTGGCCATAGAAACACTTCTGAAGACTTCTCAGTACCTAGTAAGCATCCGGTTCATGGAAGGTGGTACTGTAGATCACACACACACACACACACACACACACCCATTAGCGCCGTGCAGCAGAATTTTCCTTGATGACGAAAATGTTGTCCACCTGTCAGTCCCATACTTAGTACTTACCCACAGGTGGCTACCGAGCACTTGAACACATGCCTAGTGTAGAAACTGCCCTATGGGAGGGACTGAAACATTGTAGCGGAGTGAAACTCAATTCAAACAAATTAAGATGCCGAAGTGTACTTTATTCATACAAACACCCTTAGGTGCACATTTAAGTCAGGTGTGGAACTCCATACCCCTTTCCCTAGTCCTCCCACCCCCCGACCTTAGTGTCCCCTCCACACACAACCATGTACCCTTAATTTGAAAAAGGAAGCCCTAATATATTTTGATGTATTAATTAGTACCCAACTTAATTAAAATTAATGTAATATTAAAATTAAACAGCTACATGTGGTTAGTGGCTACAGTATGGGACAGAATGGATCAATAGTCTATCCTGTGACCTATTATAAATGTTCTCTTTTCAGATGATCAGCCTAATCATTATGTGTTTTAACCAGTCAATAAGTGAGTGATACAGAAAGGCCCTTCGGTAGAGTTTCAGAAGTCAGGTGCGCAGGAGAGGACAATGAGTGAGCAAGCAAAGGCCAGAACCCTGAAGAAAGTGGGACTGACCTTCAGACACCCCAGGACTCAAATCTTGGTTCTGTCACTTAGCTGCGGGCTCCGAACGAGTTCCTGAATCTCTCCAAGCCAGCTGCATTCTCTGAGGTGAGTGGCGGGTAGCCGCCCTGACCTCCAGCAGAGGTGGTTAACTCATTTGCAGGGTCCGGTGCAAAATAAAAACGTGCATATTATTATACAATTATTATACAATTATTATACAATTATTAAGGATTTCAAACTGGCACCAGGGGAACACTGAGCTATGGGTGGGCCCTCCTGAGCGCGGGGCCTGTGCAGGGGCAAGGGGGCACACACGTGAAGCTGTCTCTAGGGTCTGAGAAGGGCTGTTGGCTGGTCCAAGTGTTGAAAATAATAGTGGGCGCCAGGCCTGAGCCAAGACCAGAGGGTTCGCTGCTGCTGGGCTGGGCTGGGCTGAAGGCTGGGGCGGGAGATCTTTCCCGGCATCCGTTCTGGGTCTTCTCTCTTCCCGTGTCCTTAGGCTACTTTGCAGCCAATTTTTTTCCAGGCCTGTTTGTTATGTGGGTCTGAAATGACCACAGTCTAGCTCCTGGTAATTACCTCCATCAAAGGTTGGCCAAGAGACCGTATGGGCTCAGCCCTGTGGCTCATGGATCGGCAGCAGGGTTTTAAGAGGCCAGAGGAAAGGAGGAGACTGGGGGGTTATATTGAGTTCTGTGTCATCCTATTTTCTCATAAGCACCTTTTTAAAAAAGATTTTAGTTTATTTTATTATTTTTAAAGATTTTGTTTATTTGAGGGGAGGGGGAGAGAGCGCAAGCAGGGGGTAGGGGCAGTGGGAGAAGCAGACTCCCCACTGAGCGGGGAGCCTGATGCCGGGCTCCATCCCAGGACCCCGGGATCATGACCTGAGCTGAAGGCAGATGCTTAACCGACTAAACCGCCCAGGCGTCCTCTCATAAGGACCTTTAAAGCCAAAAAACAGCCCCATGAACCCCCAGAGAACGTGAGCCCTGGGGCAGGGAATTGCTCACTTACCTCTGGAGTAGAGCTCAGGCCGAGAGTACCTGGATGTGGTGCTTTCTGGCGGCGATCTTGGAAGCCATGCAGGTGTAAAGTGTAAAGTGTGACTCCCCTCTTCCCCGGGGAGCAGGAATCCATCAAGGCTGTGGCTGAGGGCAGCGCTGAGTGTCGGGGAGCTAGATTTGGCAGGGCCTGGCAGGTGCTTTGCTCTGTGGCTCTAACACCAGATTCTCAGGCATCCCTGACCCAGGCAGGAGCTGCCGACACCAAGCCCAGAGAGGGCCTATGGGTGGGGGCAGCATCCCTGAGCCTTCTTCCCCCAAAGTTCCTGGCCTCCTGGAGGAAGGAGAAAAGAGGGGGGAAACGAAAGGATCCCATGGGAGCCCTGAGCCACTTTGGCGGCCCCTTACCTCATCCCCGGATCCCAGGAGCTGTCCCCCCACTACCTGCCCCGGGGCTGAACTGAGCCACAGAGCAGGAGCAAAGGCTGTGCATTTGCTGCCCTGCCTCTTGCGTGTTTGCGTCCCTGGGCAAGTGACTCCATCTCACTGGGCCCCTTTTCTCACCAGTAAACGAGATGGAACATTGCCACTGCAATCATCAGAGGCCACCGTGAGCGAAGGCTTGAAAGCTTCTAGCATAAGGTCTTTGCCTCGCATTGAATTCCTTCCCTCCGTCTGGCCGTCTCCAGTATGATACCTGCCCGATGTCACCGCCGAAGTACAATATGTCTCTGTTCTGACCATGAACGTAACAGATGTTCTTGCTGAGCACCCGCTGTGCTGGGCAACGTGAGGAGGATGAACCAAGTACAAAAACATGGACTCCTACCTCTGAGAAAAGTTCAGCCATGCTGAGCAAGACATTGGCAAGTACAAACTCCCAACTAATGAGACTGATGTACGAGGCTCAGGCATCCTAAGGACGATTGCCATTTAGAGGGAGAGCTTGGTGGGGCTGGAGGGCTTCTTGGAGGAAGTGGGCTCTGTGATAGACTGAAGTGCTGGTAGGATTTTCACAGAGAGGGGAGGTAGGTCGCACAGCTTCTTGTAGAGGGTTGTCCGGGAACAGTGGCATGAGCCAACGATCAGGCAGGAGTGCCCATGATGCCCCTGAGGGTTTTGAGTGCCATTGGGATGGAGCGCTGAGGTCATGGGTTCAATGGAGGAAGAGATCTGGAGAGCTGAGGAGGGCCGGGTGGGAAACTGGAGGTGCCATACCTCAGCAGGAGATCAAGGATTTTATTCTGAGGGACAAATCTGGAGGTACAGGTGTCAGAGCAAGGGAGTTACACGATGATGTATGGTGGGAGGGAGTGGGAAGGTAGAAGAGAAGCATCTAAAGCAATTGGGGTGAGTGACAGGGATGAACCAAAGTCTGGTCCTGCATCCGGGCCTGGGTGACCGGAAGAGTCAAAGCATTTTGGAGATGGACATGACCTGGGGTGATTTACTCTATGTAGACATTTGAGAAACAGAACCCAACTCAAGGCCACCCAACTAGTTAGGGGCCGAGTCAGAAAATGAACTCATGTTAAAGGTTTAGTGCAAGGGGATGGGGGAGGAATTTGCCTCTGGAGTGATCAGGTTTGGGGAACACGGGGACATATGAGCTGATGAATCCAGCAGGCTGCTGAAAATGTGGGTCTGGGGCCCAGGGAGGTTATCAGCTAGGATTTGGGGGGGGTGGGCATTCTCATCATAGAACAGAGGACACAGTTAGAACCCCAAGGGGCAGTGTGCTGAGACAAAAGGCCAGAAGCCCCAAGACTGAAGCTTGACGTCCAAGAACAGGATCCAGGAGAAAGGGCAGCCAGAGAGGTGGGATGTGGCCCAGATGTGAACGCAGTGATCAAGAGAAAAGGTGTTGGTTAGCGCTGTCTAGGGGCTTAGACACTTGGCTCCAATCTCCCCAGCCCCATTGAAGCAGATGGCTGTGAACTCTTTAACCCTTCTCCCACTGAGATGCGGAGTCTTTGCTTCCTCCCCTTAAATGTGGGCAGGCTCTGTGATGAATGTGCCCAGAGACTAGAATGGAAGTGACGCCATGAGGCTTCCGGGCCCAAGTCTCCAGACACTGGCAGGTCCGACTTTCTGTTCTGAGAACACTCGCTCTTGGAACACAGCCACCGTGTTGTGAAAAAGGCCCCAGTCCTGTAGAATGGTCCAAGGGAGGAAGAATCAGAGCTCCTGGCCGGCGGTTAGTATTGACTCACCAGCTGGGTGATGCCACCATCTTGAAAGGAGAGTCCAGTTGAGGTCCCCAGAGAGGTAAGCCATCCCTGATGAGTTCTACTCAGATTTGTGAGCAAAATAAAGACTGTTCCTAAGTTACCAAAGTGTGGGGTGGTTTGTTATGCAACAATATCCTATCTCCTCGGTGCACTTGGGTCTCTTCTCCAAGGGCAAGGTGAACGGTGGGGGACCCTTTGCTTCTGTTCTGGTGGTCGGTGACCCTCACGGGGCTTAGGGCTCCATGTCAGTCAATGGCAATGGTGGCCCAAGACCTCTAGGGGGGTATCGGGAGTGGTCAGAGAGAGGCAGCCCAAAGCCTGGCATCTGGTACCATAAACACACAGAAAAGACAAACATCTACTGAGCCCCTGCTGAGCCTGTCACGATAAACTGGGGGATCTGGGCCTCAGCCGAACCAGGGGACAAATAGCCAAATCATTTAAACAACTCGATGTCCATTTTTCTTTCCTGTACATTCGTTTATTTAAAAAAGTGTAGGAAATGAATAAAATGGTACCTAAAAATTATCTACAACGAAATAAATTATTCCCAGTTATGCATTGCAGATCCACACAAACCAGTCCTCTAACCTTGACCAAGGTTACATTCCCCAAGGACTTATATGCTTCCCGCCTCCGACTCTTCCTGAGGCTTTTCCCTCCTGTGTGAAGGGACTACAGCATTAAGCCCCGTCCTGTATGAGCTGGGCTTCCCCACAAGCATGGCGGACGGGCGTGGAGGCAGCCCAGGCGTCCACAGACCCAGGGGCAGGGCACACAGTAGGCGTCAGCAAATGTGTCCAAGTGGTTTCCAGCAGCCCTGACGTATTTTACCTAAGTGGGGTCTGGGTTTTAAAGAAAAGAGTCAGAGGTATGTTGGGCTGGCACCTCCAGGAGGCATAGCTTCAGAAAACATTAAATTCGCCTGAGGTCTCAGGAAGATGGCAACTGGGCCTGGAGTTTGGAGCTCTCGGTTAAAAGCAAATGGCCCCATGGGGCCCTTGTAAGTAAGGGCGGAGCGTGTGACAACAACCAGGCCAAGGGTGGCCTGTCACGCTCCGTGGCCGTGGGAGGCAGAGCACCGAGGCCAGGGCTCCAGGGTTGATTTTAAGTCATGATACAATGGCAGTTGGGGGGAGGAAGCCCCAGCCCTCTGGCCCTTCATGGGGAGGGGGTCAAGAGTCCGAAGGTAACTGGGCAGGAGCCCGCCTTTTACAAGGGAAAGGTGCCAGGGGCCGCACCCAGGGTGTCAGCCAAACAACAAACCCTTCCTTCTGGAAAAGAGTTCAAGAGGCCTTGGAATACACACCATTTAGGAGATTGCAAAACTCCTTTTCATGGAGGCAAAGTAGCACATGCAAGCAAGTCTAGGCAGTGCGTTTCCAAGGTGAATTCACTGAACACAGTGAAGCACATTTATTTTTTAAAGGAGGTTTGGCCACAGAAACATTGACGTTTGGACCATGCTGACAAGCCGGAACAGGATCCCTCTCCTCCCAGAAGAGATCAGGGCCCACAGAGGCAAACGCTCCCGTGAGCGGGAGCTGGGCTGATCATTAATATAAATGAGGGATGTGGGCCGTGTATGAGAAAAAACCTTCATGAAACACACACCAGCCTTGAGGCCCATCTTCTCCTTTGATAAGAGACACATATGGCTCCTAAACTTTCCATTTCATTATGAACAAAGCAACCCCCTGGGGGTGGGGCGGGGGCACTGATCAGCAGCCACAGACGCTCAGCATCAGTGAGGGAGGCGAGAGGGAGTGGTGGGGACTGGGGTGAACTGGGGAACCAGGCACCCCACCAGCTGCCGCCAGGTGACAGTGAGCCCCAGAAACGGCCAGATCTCCTGATCTGGATTTTTATGCAAAAATTGTATAATTTTAAATGTTAGTAACAAATTCTTCAAAAAGATTCTGCAGGCCAAACAAAACACACCTGCGGGCTGGGTCGTTTCCCAGTCTCTCTTGCAGTGGCAGGGAGGTGTGATAGCCAGAATCATGGGTCCCCAAAGATGTCCATGTCCTGATCCCCCAGAACCTGAGGCTGTGTTACCTTACGTGGCAAAAGGGACTTTTCAGTGTGATTAAATTACAGATCCGGAGATGGGGAGATTTTCCTGGATTATTTGAGTGGGTGGGCTTTATAAGTGAAAGGTCCATATAAGGCAAAGAAGGAAGGAGGTGCATCAATGTCACGTGGCAGCGTGGGCGACTCCGTGTGTGACCAGCCAACCGAGGCATGGAGTGTGAGCAGCCCCTAAAAGCTTGAAAAGGCAAGGAAACCAATTCTGCCCTAGAGCCTCCAGAAGGAGCATAGCTCTGCTGACTCCCCGATTTTAGCCCAGGGAGACCCACTTTGCCCTTCTGCTCTCCAGAACCATAAGAAATCTATGTTGTGTTGAGCCTCCATGTTTGAGGTAATTGGTTACAGTAGCAACAAGGAGCTAACACGGTGGCCATTCTCTGGCGTATTTTTAGACATTGCTAGAGGTTGAAAATACTCTCTAGATTTCTCGTTAAATGCCAAAGTATTGTTGGAGCGGGGACAGCCACCCAGCAATTCAAGGAAATTTTTCTTACTTCTAGGACTCAAGATAAATCTGTGCGGTGGGATAACCACACGCAGAGCAAGAGAACCAGGAAGTCGCTTATCAATGCCCTCAAACAGACACACCCTGTTTTGGCTGGACAGACTGCAAGTTATTCCCACCTTCCAGGGGACAGGCACATGTTTATCTAGTGGTCGGTAGAAGTCAAAACCCAGCCATCCAACCAGTTCGCATGAGTTGTCACCATGTCAGGTAAAAAGAGCTACGTGGTTATGCATTTGACTCCTTAAATATACAGGACCACCAAATAAATAATAATAATAATAAGGCACATTATCATTTTCATCCAGGGGGCTCCAGTGGGAGCAGGGACCTTGGATGGGCTCCGAGGGATTGGAATTGTTGCCCTGAAGAGGTCCAAATCCAAATCCAAATCCAAATCCAGAGCTTGTTGCAACCTTGTACGTGGTGACTCACGGCCCTCCTCTCTCATTATGGGCTGGTTTACAACCCAACCTGAGTTTAGAAGGACATGAACTGTGACGATTGTATCCAGGTCAGAATTCATCACTTTCAACATCCCATGATTGGAATGAGTCCACTTGGAAATCAGAGGTCGGTGGTGTCCTGAAAAACCTCCTGCCATTCCTTCCATATAATTCCTCTTTAGGATTTCTGCTTGAGACCCCTAAAGGGTGTCTCAATGCCCTGTTTTAGGCAGTCTTTGGAATGGGTCCAAGTTACTCCCCAGGCTCCTCTGGCTCATGGGTGTCCAGCAAGGGAACGTCTGTGCTCCCATTGTTGGGGTGGGAGAAGGTATATGGTTCGGTCTCAGACTCAGCGGGGAAGCCAGGGGATGGCTCATCTGTGGTCAGCTTTGCAGTCGGGGCCCTGGAGCATATGGGGGGTGGGGAGGGGGGGCAGTCTCCTGTGGGGCCCTGGAAGGGCCGGTAGGTGTCCACCTCTGGCTGCAGGAAGGAGCCGTTGGAATCCTGTAGCAGATGCCCATACACCATGGTGTCATCGATGACATCGTACACGTGGGAATCACTGTCCTTTCGTCCTTTCTGACACTTTTTTGGCTGCATCGGCATCTGGGTGTTGATGTTGCCATTGTAGATGCCTACAGGTGGGCCTTTGTTTTTCTTCTTTTTCCTACTGAGAGAAGGGGAACAAGACAGAGTCAGGAAGAGCAGGATCTTAGCTGCGCTCCATTGGCATAGCCCTACAGGAACTGGGGCACTTTGGGTTTCTCGCATGTCTCCCCCAAGTCCCTCAAATCCCTTAGCCCTTGGAACTGAAACTACTGTCCTCTGGGAGCATTTAGAAGGGACCAGCTTCTGTCTCCAGTCTTCACAGTGGATGCAGGGTATCCAGGGGTGGGAACAGCTGACAACCAGCCCCTCTTTCCTACAAGAAAGGGTGCTGCCCCAGCCCGACCACATCCAGTGTGGTCATCCCCCACTAATGCTCTAGGATGCAGTCTTTCCCCTAGCTAATGCTTCATCCCTCTTTTGCATGGGTAGAAGCTCTGGCCATCTGGATTCTAAGTGATGTAACAGAGGAGACTCGGAATGAGAGGCTATATCTTAGTTTGGAGTTGGGGACAGTGGGACTCAGTATTAGCGGAGGTATCCGGTCCCTTCAAGCAGTAGCCTGCATAAGGGGAACAGCCTGCATAAAGGGACAGAACTCAAAAGAAGACGGCATTCAGGCTGGGGCACGCCAGAGCTCCTCAATAACACCATGAACCTTTGCTTTGTAATGTTCTTTGGTACTTGGGTGTGGACGGGCATTAGCACTCTCCGCTGAGGAAAACAAAGCTTCGCCCTCCATCTCCATGAGCCAAAAGCAGGGGATGCTGGTTTTTTAGCTGACCAGTGATTCAAATGGAGGACATTAGTTCAATTAACATAATGGACCCTATATTGCACAGGCTGACAGCTCCCTAATTGTGGACAGGCTTCTTGTCCTTTTCTGAGATAAAAATAATGTAGTCCATTTAACTTGTAACACTGAGTCTCTGGCTGGGGTGATGGGTTCCAAAGGCTCCTGCCTGAAGCCCTGAGATGGATGCCCCTCCTTTGTGCTCCATGGAGCCTTGACTGTCTCCACCAGTGTTCTTCTCAGGCCAGAACCGGGGCAGTTTAGAGATGGAGGCAAGAAGTGGACCCTCCCCTTGCCCGGTTCCCTGCCGATGAGGAAGAAGGGACCCGGTGTTAACACTGTGCTTTCTGATCTGGGTGGCAGAGACTGCACCCCAGACAAGAAAGTTTCCTAGAGAAACCATAAAATGATAATTTGTTGAAAGAAGTCCTTTCCCCCTGTGTGGTATGTATACAATTCCATTTCACGGAGAAGAGGCTTTTCCCTGGACCTGCCTCGGGCAGCCCCTTCCTCATCAGTGGAGACATTTCTAGACAGTCTCACTGTGGGTCGGGAAGTTTGGTTGTTTGCTCACGGCCCCAGTTAATAATAAAAAAGAAAAAATTCTCTTTAGCTTGTTGCAAGGTTGAATGGCGCTAAGGAAAGCAATTTCCTTCTCCCTCATGGCTTTAATCAGAAATACGCGCAGAATTGATAAAATCTGGTGGCGCCCCTATTCTGTCTCAAAAGGTCAATGCTCTGCCTTCATAAAACAGCAGCTCTCATCCTGAGGGGATGGAAGGTGAGATGAATCAGGTAACTGGGTCTTCCTTCCTTTCGCCCACAGGGCTCGCTTTTTGGTGCCTGTCTGGAGTCCAATAAACAAGTGCAAAAATTTAAGAAACCGGAGAACCAGCTGGGGTGGCATGCGTTCACCAAGTGACAGAGGACGCAGGCTCAGACCCCTGGCCTGGGGTGGGGGTGGGGGGGTTCTGACGTGAGCATTTTCCTGCTAAGATCATCCCTGGGATGACCACCATCTAATGGGCAGACAGTAAATGATTGCCAGGGGACTCGTGCTGAGACAGCTGCGTAAAAACCGCAGGCTAACATGTCACCAGCTGTGTCTTCTGTCCCCCCTCCCCCCCAGCATAACTCACATCTGGCAATATTATTTAATACCCATCCCTGGGAGAGGAATGGGAAGCAAGAAAAGAAGTGAGTAATTAACGACAGCTCTGGTCTGTGTGACCTAAGGAGGTGTCAGATCGGCGGAAGACAGTTTGAGAAATTCCACCTACTTCTTTTTCACAAAGCAAATGATGAGTCCAAGGGCAAACAGCAGTAAGGCGCCACCTCCCACGACCACGATGATGATGACAGTCAGGTCTGTGAGCAGAGACACGAGGGAGAGGGATGAGGAGACACGGGGGTGGTCAGGCGGACGATGAACTGGGGCAGACAGTCTCCAGAGATGGCCGCCATCCATCCCTTCCCTCCCCAGACACACATGCTGCTCCTCACATCAAGAGGAGCCTATTTCCCTTCTTCTTCACTCTTCTTGACTTGCCGGTACTGGGGCCTTTTAGAGGCCTGGTAACTTCTTGTACTTTCTGTCTGAGGGGCAGCGAGTCAGTCAGCGTGTAAGAAGGTTGCCCATCCTGAGGCCGCCATGCTGTGAGGAAGCCCAAGCCAACCACGTGGAGACTCCGTGAGGAAAACGGACCCAGAACCCGACTGAAAGTACCAAGGCTGCAGATGACCCATCCCTGCCACCCCCGAGCTGTTTGAGGCATCTGGCGGCAGCCCCAGATATCTGAGAACAGAGAAGAACCATGTGGCTGTGTCCTATCCAAATACCTGACCGACAGAATTGTGAGCAAGCAAAATGGTTGTTGTCTAAACTACTGAATCTTGGGGCTATTTGTTAGGCGGTGACAGAGAAGTGAAACAAACTGCAGGCCCTACCAGATCCCCTCCAAAGGCTACTCTGGGCCCACCGTGGGGTGTGTGCATCCAGGCACCATGGCCTACATGGGAGAAAGGGGCAGAGGGCTGTAGGGGAAAGCAGGGCGGCAAAGTCAGAAGTGAGGGCACTAAGGACAGGGTTGTTTCATCTGTGCTGTCCTTTTCCTACAGTTGTACAAAGGACAAAGGAAATAAACCAGACAGGGAGCCCTGCACCAAACAGGGATTTAGAGTTCTTGCTTGTTTGGGGCACCTGGGTGGTTCAGTTGTTAACGGCTCAGGTCATGATCCCAGGCTCCTGGGATCGAGCCCCACATCAGGCTCCCTGCTCGGCGGGAAGCCTGCTTCTTCCTCTCCTGCTCTCCCTGCATGTGTTCCCTCTCTCACTGTGTCTCTATCTGTCACATAAATAAATAAAATCTTAAAAAAATTTATTTATTTATTTATTTGATAGAGCGAGAGCACAAGCAGGGGCAACAGTAGAGGCAGAGGGAGAAGCAGGCTTCCCGCCGAGCAGGGAGCCCGATGAGGGGCTCGATCCCAAGACCCCGTGATCATGACCTGAGCCGTAGGCAGACGCTTAACCATCTGAGCCACCCAGGTGCCCCAAATAAATAAAACCTTAAAAAAAAAGTTCTTGCTTGTTCAACAAGAAAACAAAAGGAGAAGTTAAGAGAGAGGTCGAAATAGAAATAAATGGGATACTTAGTTGGCTCAGTTGGAGGAGTGTGTGGCTCTTGATCTTGGGGTCATGAGTTCGAGCCCCACGCTGGGTATAGAGATTGCTTAAATAAAGAAATAAAACTTAAAAAAAAAAAAGTAGAAATAAATGCCAGAAAATGAACGTAAGAGAGTCAGAAAACCCAGGAGCTAACCTGAGAGTATGGGAGAGCTTCTCCCTTACGGCTTTTGGTTTGCATCACTTCTCTTGCTGCTAACCAGTTGTGTGGCCTTGGGGTGGACGTGCAGTCTCTCTGACCGCCAGAAAGGGAAGGGGCCTGGAGAAACGATCTCCACTGTCCCTTCTGGTTCTAACACTCTGTGGTGTTCTGTGATTATCTTGGAATAAAGGCAAACGTGGCCCCACCACGATTGCGGTGCCACAAACGCATTTCCTCACTGGAGACTCTTTTTTTTTTTTTTAAAGATTTTATTTATTTATTCGAGTGAGAGAGAATGAGAGATAGCACGAGAGGGAAGAGGGTCAGAGGGTCAGGGAGAAGCAGACTCCCTGCTCAGCAGGGACCCCGACGTGGGACTCGATCCCGGGACTCCAGGATCATGACCTGAGCCGAAGGCAGTCGCTTAACCAACTGAGCCACCCAGGCGCCCCCTCACTGGAGACTCTTGGGCGGATCCTGCAACTTGGAGCACAAGGCCTGCCGCTGAGGGCATGTCATGGATTCCCGTGTTTCACTGGACTCAGTAAAAAATGCCAGCACCAAGGGGTGCCCGGGTGGCTCAGCTGCTTGAGCGTCTGACTCTTGATTTTGGCTCAGGTCATGATCTTGGAAGGTCATGAGATCAAGCCCTGTATTGGGCTCTGCACTTTTAGCACAGAGTCCGCTTGAGATCCTCTCTCCTCTCCCTCTCCCTCTGCCCTCCCCCTGCTTGTGCACGCCCGCGCACGCTCTCTCTCTCTAAAATAAATAAAATCTTAAAAAATGCCAGTACCAAGTTCTGTGTCACACTTTCCAGGTCCCCACATTTGAACCCCCAACACTTGAATTCCCAATGATACTTCTGTGAGGTAGTTATTACCATCTACCCTCTAAGATGAGGAAGGTTAAGGGAGTGAAGAGCCTACCCCTATGCCAGAGAGAGATTTTTTTTTTTAAGATTTTATTTATTTATTTGAGAGAGAGAGAATGAGAGACAGAGAGCATGAGAGGGAGGAGGGTCAGAGGGAGAAGCAGACTCCCTGCTGAGCAGGTAGCCCGATGCGGGACTCGATCCCGGGACTCCAGGATCATGACCTGAGCCGAAGGCAGTCGCTTAACCAACTGAGCCACCCAGGCGCCCCTTCCTGCCTCTTTCTTACAAGGTCACTTGTGATTACATTTAGGGCCCACCCAGATAATTCAGGATGATCTCCCCATCTAAAGATTCTTTTTTTTTTTTTTAAAGATTTTATTTATTTATTTGAGAGAGAGAGAATGAGAGACAGAGAGCATGAGAGGGAGGAAGGTCAGAGGGAGAAGCAGACTCTCTGCTGAGCAGGGAGCCCGATGCAGGACTTGATCCCGGGACTCCAGGATCATGACCTGAGCCGAAGGCAGTCACTTAACCAACTGAGCCACCCAGGCGCCCCCAGAGAGAGATTAATAGTAAATGACAGTGATAGATGGACGACAAAATTGCCCTAGTTCTACCCCCCTCCCCGAACCATGTCTTAGACTATGTGACTCTGGAGCTCCTCCCACCAAGAGGCGGAGTCTATTTGTCCACCCCTTGAATTTGGGCAGGCCCAAAGAATTCTGTAGAAGGGATGGTGTGAGTTCCTAACCCAAGCATCAAGAGACCTTGTATGCTTCTTCCAGACTCTCTTGGATCTCTCTGCCTCTGCCATGAGAACAAGGCCCAGGCTGGAGTGTCAGGGAGCGTGGGGAGGAGAGCCAAGGAACCTAGTTATCCCAGCTGATTGTGGCTGGGCCCAGACGTGTGAGAGTGCACGGCTCAGACCACCAGAGTCCTCTAGCTGCCTGCAGTTACCCACAGGTGCATGAGTGAGTGAACCCCGATAAGTCCAGCTCACACCAGAATCGCCTAGTCAACATGTAAGCAATAATAAATGGCTGTCTTTAAGCCAGAGTTCTGGGGTGGTTTGTTATGCAACATTACTGATGCAAACGCTGACTGATACATGGACAGCCAGGACTCAAATCCATGTTTTCTGGATTTTTTTCACCTCCCAGGTTTGCCCCCTACCCTTCAGCTGCCAATTTGCTGTCCACCCCCCCGCCCCCGCAAGACCTTGCAGGCCCTTACCCGTAGTCCTTGGGGTAAGCAACACCCAGAAGAACAGGTCCAGCTGCTTGCCACTCACAGGGCTGCAGTTGGAGATGTTGACCCAGAAGCTGTGGTGGTGGAAGCTTGGCTTGGGGAGCACCTCATCCTCCAGGCTGAAGATCTCCTCTGCCTTGCTCCGCTGCTCCTGGATGATCATGAACGCACGCCCCGTCTGGCAGACAACGCCGGTCCGCTCCTTGAGGAAGGTCAGGTAGGCCACCTGGTTGCTGGGCACACTGATGTTCCAGGACACTGAGGTGAGGGACGGCAGGCCCCGGTCCCAGTTAGGGCTCCTCAGGTAGACCTTGTTTTTTGTGTCTGGGGTCACCGTGAAAACACCTTCCTCTGCAGGAAAGGGGAAAGAATCCACACAAGATGTTTCACTGAATCAAAATGGATGTTAACCTGTCTAGACTTTTCTAGAGTTTTCTGCGATGACAGAAAAGTTCTCCACAGGCTCACCCCATTTTATTACACTTTGCAGATCCTGTGAATTTTTAAGAATTGAAGGTTTGTGGCAACCCTGCATTGAGCAAGTCTGTGGTGCCATTTTTTTTGTGTGTCTCTGTGTCACATTTTGGTGATTCTCCCAACATTTCAAATTTTTCATTATTGTATTTGCTATGGTGATCTGTGATCAGTGATTGCAACTTGCTGAAAGCTCAGATGATGGTTAGTATTTTTTAGCAAGGAAGTTTTTTGTTTTGTTCTTTGGGGGTTTTTTTTGGGTTTTTTTGCTTACAAAGCTTTTATTTTTAAGTAATCTCTACATCCAATGTGGGGCTCGACCTTACAAGCCCGAGATCAAGAGTCGCATGCTCTACCAACTAAGTGAGCCACGCACCCTGGCAATAAAGAATTTAAAATTAAGGCATGTACATTGTTTTTTTTTAGACACAATGCTATTGCACACTTACTAGACTACAGTATGGTGTAAAGAGAACTTTTATATGCACCGGGAAACAAAAAAACTCATTTCACTTGTTTTATTGCAGTGGTCGGGAACCGAACTTGCAATATCTCCTGGGTGCCCATATCTGCACTCCCCAAGCATGTAGCCATCACCACGCGTGTCTGTGGAAGACCCAAAATGTGCTCGAATGTGACTGAGGAGCTGAATTTTAAATTTTGTTATTAATTTAAGCATAAATTGCCGCACATGGCCAGTGACTGTTGGTTAGCACAAAGATTAGAGTCTCAGGTTAGGTGCTCAGGTCTTTTGAACAAAGCCAATCAACCAAACAAAAACAAAAAACCCCAGGCTAGTTCACCAAACCACTGGTTATCTCTGAAAGCTTGCTTTCAGAAACACCCTCGACATAGCTAAGATTCACCTGACGCTCTGCTCCACGGTAGGACTGGTACAGAGCAATTTCTGTTTCGAAGGTTAAACCGCTTCCGTTTCTGGGAAGAATGGTAGAAATGCAAAGCTGAAGACCTCCGACAGACACGTCACCTGACCTTCAGGTGAGATGAAACTCCAACGTTCCACACTGAGGAGGGTATGTCTTGTTTTCCAAGACTCCCCAAAGGAGTTTCTTGGGGAGCTGTGGGGATATCAGGCAGCTTGGACTGACCTTAATCTTATGGCCAAAGATTCTTCTCCCTCCCCACTCAGGTCTCTGGGAACAAAGTACGAAGTAAACCTCAGATAAAAGTCTTGGTCAATTTTTAAATGGCCTCTGACTTTGAGCCAGTTGTAATGGTGACTGTGACTTTAAAAACCAACCATGGAGAGCTCACCGTTGGGAGGGATTCAGACCCCGCTCACTGCCTGGCACCCTGAAGATCAAACACTAGCCTTGCAGGAGGGGCTGAGCCCCTGTGCTGGGAACAGGACCCTCGTGCTCTGGAGACCCTCCCCGGTCCACCTTCCCCTGTGCACTCCACGCCACGTTCTAAATTGTCAAAGCTGACTCACAAATGCCTGCGTAAGGATTTTCATGCTACCACCTTATATATCTGGGACTCGGGAATATTTGGTTAGCTCTCATTGAAGCCCCTGCCTGCTTCCAAAAAAGGCTTGAACCTGATTCTTTGTCCTGCTGCCTGCCAACTGTCACCTCCCACTGTCAGAGTCTTCTTTCTTTCTTTCTTTTTTTTTTTTAAGATTTTTAAATTTTTTATTAGAGAGAGAGAGTATAATCAGGGGGAGCGGCAGGTAGAGGGAGAGTGAGAAGAAGCAGGCTCCCTGCTGAGCAGGGAGCCCGATATGGGGCTCGATCCCAGGACCCCGGGATCATGACCTGAGCCGAAGGCAGACGCTTAGCTGTCTGAGCCATCCAGGTGCCCCCAGAGTCTCATTTCCTTCTTGCTTTCTTTTCTTTTTTTTTTTAAGATTTTTATTTATTTATTTGAGAGAGAGAGAGCACATGAGAGGGGGGAGGGTCGGGAGGGTCGGAGGGAGAAGCAGACTCCCCGCCGAGCAGGGAGCCCAATGTGGGACTCGATCCAGGGACTCCAGGATCATGACCTGAGCCGAAGGCAGTCTTTTAACCAACTGAGCCACCCAGGCGCCCTCTTTTTTTTTTTTTTTTTTTAAGATTTTTATTTATTTAACAGAGAGAGAGAGAGAGAGCACAAGTAGGCAGAGCGGCAGACAGAGGGAGAGGGAGAAGCAGGCTCTCCGCCAAGCAGGGAGCCCGATACGGAGCTCGATCCCAGTACCCTGGGATCACAGCCCGAGCCGAAGACACTTAACCGACTGAGCCACCCAGGCGCCCCCAGAGTCTTATTTCTAACTCCCGGGATTTTCCACACTAGGTGAATGGTGGAATCCGGATGAGGACACACCATCTTTCAGATTTCTCGTGAGAAGACCAGCCCACTCAGCTCTCCCTACTCTTCAAGCTGACAACTTAATGAAGACGATCCCAGAAGCAAAATAAGAGGGATGTCCAACCAAGAAAGGGGCAGGGAGCTGGGGAGAGAGAGGGAGACCTCCTTACCTTTGAAGAACGGTATAAAGGACACGGTCAGGCCCTGCCTGGTGGCCTCTTGTCGGAAGCTGGGGGCAAAGGTGCGGAGGGTCACTGAGATGTTCTGCTTCACCTGGATCTGCTCGATGGAGCCTCCAGGGCAGAAGAAGCCGAAGTAAAGTTCCTGGCCGGGGACGGCACTGGCCACCAGGTAGCTGAAGCTCGTCTTGCAGACCTTCTCTTGCGTGTGCTGTTGCAGTTTCTGGGCAGGCACCAGTGCTAGGCTCAGCCTGTCCTTGGGCACCAGCAGCTTCCAGGAGAAGTCATGCAGCTGCACGGGCAGCTGGAGGATGTCCCCAGGCACCTGGAGGGAGTGGGATCTCCTGTGGCAGTACCGGTGGTCCATGCAGCCTGGAAAAGAGGGGCTCGTGGTACCGGGCAGGGAGGGGACCGGCCGTGTGTCCTCCCCAGCGGGAGAGACCACCCAGGCTTTCTTGCTTTTCCCTTTGGTCTCTCCTCTCCCACTCCGTCCCCCACTCCGGGCTCCCTGATGCTTCTTTTCTAGCCGCCCCGCTTGCTCTCTCACGTTCTTACTCCACCCTAAATTGGCAGACCAACTTCTGGGGGAGTACTTAGGGTTGAAGTGTCCTCTTCCTGTGTGTCAGCCTCTCTTCTGTGGCTCTGAGTCTCAAATGCTAAGTATGGGCAGGGCATAGGTTTTTCCCCCGACGGTGGGGAAGGAGCTTGGTGCGGCGGTCAGAGCAGGGATGGAGCTGGGGAGGTATCTGCCACCTCCTAGTGGGCAGGTTGCCTCAAGTCTTGTGGCCTGAGCTGTCGCATCTGTGGAAGCTCTAAGAGCATCCACGTCGGAGGTCATGGCGGCCCAGCGGGGAGGGGACTAGGGGTTTTGCTGGCCTCCGTTCATCAAACATTTAGTATGTGACTAATACATGTCCAGCAGCCCCAGGGGCTAAAGGGACCAAAAAAATGGAACAAGCCGCAGTTCTTGACCTCAAGACTCTCAGTCTCATGCAAGAGGAGACAAGTGTGCGGTGAGCCTGGAGGCGGGGGTGAGGGGGGTTCGGGGGTCGGGAGGCTACACAGAGGAGAGGATCTCAGGAGAGATGCTGGAAGGCTGGGCAGAGGACACAGGAATGAGCTTGGGAGTGCAATGCACTTCTGAAGGACGCCCGTTCTCACCGAGGCTCTGGTCCTAGAGGGGCACGTCTCCACCTCACTGTCCACTGTCTGCCCTTGCTCACCCTGCACGGCGGGGGACAGCTCTGATCATATGATTTACAGCCTACCCAGTGGAGCCCACTAAGGAGATAGGGCGGGGCAGCGAGACCTGCCCACGGCCCCGGAGGATTGTGCTAACCCAGGGGGCGTACTTATGGTTTTCTCGGCGTTCATCCACAGGCGAGTCAGATTATCACAAAGGAAGGAGATCTTGTGTTTGGAGCCGGACGTCAGGGTGAGGTTGGTGCTGCAGGTCCGAGAATCCAGACACACGAAGCAGCCAGGGACAAACTTGCGGCTAAGCTTGATGGGCCGCGGCTCGATGGTGAGCGACATGGCTTGCTCGTTACTCAAGTCGACCAGGTAGATTTTATCTGAAACCACGAAGAGAAAACAGGTCTGAAGCATGGATCAGCAGCCACCCTGTGAAGGGGCAAAAATTAGCATAAAAAGTCTCATGGCTGGGGAGCATTGGAAGTATGTTTTATTATTACGAGAATATGCAAGCGGGTGCCTGGGTGGCTCAGTCAGTTAGGCATCTGCCTTCGGCTCAGGTCATGATCTCAGGGTCCTGGGATCGAGCCTCACGTCGGGAAGCTCAGGAAGTCTGCTTCTCCCTTTGCCCCTTCCCCCATTTGTGCTTGTGCTCTCTCTGTCTCAAATAATAAAATCTTTTTTTTTTTAAAGATTTTATTTATTTATTTGAGAGAGAGAACAAGCAGGGGGAGGGAGAGGGAGAAGCAGGCTCCCCGCTGAGCAGGGAGCCTGGGGTTTGATCCCAGGACCCTGAAATCATGACCTGAGCTGAAGGCAGACGCTTAACCAACTGAGCCACCTAGGTGCTCCTCAAATAATAAAATAAGAACATACAAGAACTCTAGGAGAAATTTAAAAGGAAAAATAATGGACTGAATTTCTACCACCCACATTTAACCACTTTTACTTCTTCAAATTCATTTTAGCCCTTGTTCGTATGCATGCATATTTTCTTTTTTTTTTTTTTTAAAGATTTTTATTTATTTATTTGAGACAGAGAGAATGAGAGACAGAGAGCATGAGAGGGAGGAGGGTCAGAGGGAGAAGCAGACTCCCTGCCGAGCCGGGAGCCCGATGCGGGACTCGATCCAGGGACTCCAGGATCATGACCTGAGCCGAAGGCAGTCGCTTAACCAACTGAGCCACCCAGGCGCCCCTGCATGCATATTTTCAACTGCCTAAAAGTATAGTATATATAAAATTTTATACTCAGCTTTTACTTTATTACTTTACACAGGTTTACTTATTTTTCCATAGTTTTCATATTCACGAGTCTTTGAAAATATTCAGTAATTTAGTGGCTGTGTGATAGTTAACAAGTGAGATTTACCATTGTTTATTTAAGTATTCTCCTGCTATGAATAGTAATTAGCAACAGTGTGGTATTAGCATGGGGATAGAAGATTCATAGATATTACATTTCTTCATAGATATTATTATTATTCACAGATATATCCATCGATATTATAATTTAGTCTCTAATAAATGCTATATTTCAAATAAGTGAGGAAAAGACGAACCACTCCTGGCTCGGCTAGAACTCTCTCTCCCATTAGTACAAGAATAAAATTAGACTGGTATTTCAAAGCAAAGAGAATATCCTTATAAATGCGGAGTGCAAATTATAAAAGAAAAAAAAATTAGGTATCTGTCTGCTAATAGGTACTGAAATGCTGAAGGACAAGGGACACATTGGGAGAAAATATCTGTAAGAAAGATGGATTGAGCGGTTCACAGAAAGGGAAACAGAAATGTTCACATATTCAAAATATAAGGAGTTCTTTTTTTTTTTTAAAGATTTTATTTATTTATTTGAGAGAGAGAGTGAGAGAGAGAGAGAGCACAAGAGGGAGGAGCGGGAGAGGGAGAAGCAAACTCCCTGCCGAGCAGGGAGCCCTACGTGGGACTCGATCCCAGGACTCCAGGATCATGACCTGAGCCGAAGGCAGTCGCTTAACCAACTGAGCCACCCAGGCACCCTATAAGGAGTTCTTAGTATCACTTGCAGTATCACTTGTCATCACAGAAAAGCAAATTAAAACAAAGTGTAGAGGGTGAAGATGAAAGCCTGCCCCCTTGGGACCCCAGAGGTGTAACTGGGGAATATACGCCCATGTTTGTACCGCAGCTCTGGAACTGTGGAAAACCAGACACCACGTAATACGGGAAGGGTTAAATGCTCTGTGGAACATTCATGAACATTCAAAGCCTATGCGGTTTCTGTAATGCTCGTGGCCTCTGTGGAATATTATTTAGCAGTTAAAAAGAAAGAGGGAGATCTAGGGGTGGGGCCTGGGTGGCTCAGTTGGTTAAGTGTCTGCCTTCAGCTCAGGTCATGAGCTCAGGGTCCTGGGGCTCCCTGCTCAGTGGGGAGCCTGCTTCTCCCTCTCCCTCTGCCCCTCCCTCCTGCTTGTGTGCATGCACACGCGCAAGGGCTCTCTTTCTCAAATAAAATCTTTTTTTTTTTTTTGTTAAATATTTTATTTATTTATTTGACAGAGAGAGACACAGCGAGAGAGGGAACACAAGCAGGGGGAGTGGGAGAGGGAGAAGCAGGCCTCCCGCTGAGCAGGGAACCCAAAGCAGGGCTCGATCCCAGGACCCTGGGACCACGACCTGAGCCGAAGGCAGACGCTTAACGACTGAGCCACCCAGGCACCCTCAAATAAATAAAATCTTTTTTTTTTTTAAAGATTTTATTTATTTATTTGACAGAGAGAGAGATAGCGAGAGCAGGAACACAAGCAGGGGGAGTGGGAGAGTGAGAATCAGGCTTCCCACTGAGCAGGGAGCCCGATGTGGGACTCGATCCCAGGACCCCGGGATCATGACCTGAGCCGAAGGCAGATGCTTAACGACTGAGCCACCCAGGCGCCCTCAAATAAATAAAATCTTAAAAAAAAAGAGGGAGATCTAAATATACTGATCTAAGAACTTCCAAGATACGGTGTTGACTAAAACAGCAAGTGTAGAACAAATGTAGGCTATGACACCGTCCGATTATACGATCTCTACATCAAATGTAATCGCTATTTCTATGTGTATATACTTATGTATGTAAATGAAGAGAAATAAGATCTGGAGAGAAATACAACAAATCCGTAACTGTGGTTACCCCAGGAGAGGAGCCAAGAGTGGGGCGCCACACACTATTTAGAATACCTCTGCTTGTTGACCGAGCTTCTCTGGAGGGTGCTCTGACCAGACTGCTTCCTGCGGAACCCGTAACATCTTCATGTTCAACCTTTTCTCTTGGGTTGGTTGGATTCCCTCAGAGAAGAGCCCGCCATTCACCAAATGGAGGAAACACACTTGGGGCTTCCCACGAAGGAAGCAGGATGGGGCCTCGAGAGTCAGCACATCAAACTTACTCAAACTGCCTGTGTTCAGCTTAGCGCCTTCACCTTCAGGGCAACTGGGATCTTTGGTTCAAAAACTTCCCTTTCCAGGGAAGGAACTCCTATCTTCTGTTGCCTGCGGGAGGAGCGTCCCCGGGCTGCTTGGTGGATCTGGGGCTGGAGTGGCTTCTCCCACTTTTAGCCCTCGTTCTGAAAGTGACATGTTGCCAATTCCTGCCTTTGAAAGTTTCTTCTTGGTGTTTCCCACTGTGGGATTAGATTCTGCACTTTTGGGTCTGCTGAATCAGTTACCCCTGTACGTCCATGCTGGGAAATGTTAGAATATTGTCTCCTTTCCCTTTATCACTTCCCTTGGAATTTATGCTTTTAGAAATATTTTAAATGCCATTACAGTGTGGTTTAAGAAGGAAGCAAATGTCTCTTTAATGGGAAGCCCTCATTTTCCAATTAGTTGTGTTTTTCTCATCAGAAAGTGAACTTCAGGGATCTCCATAACCTGCTTATCTGGCACATGGTCAAGAGTCCATGATGTGTTGGGTTGTTAATCCTCATACATCCTTGAGAGGGAGTGTGTCAGTCAGCTCAGGCTAAATTATGCTACAGTAACAAATGGTCCCCCAAATCTGAAGGTTGAGAATAACCAAGATTCATTCTTCATTCACCTTACACATCCATTGTGAGTTGGCTGTAGCACTGGGGCATGTCTTTTTAACTTTTTTTTTTTTTTAAGATTTTATTTATTTGAGAGAGAGAGCACGAGTGGGGGATGGGGTGTGGGGGGAGGGGCAGAGGGAGAGGCAGGCTCCCCGCTGAGCAAGGAGCCTGACAAGGGGCTCCTTTCCAGGACCCCAGGATCAGGACCTGAGCCGAAGACACTTAACCGACTGAGCCACTCAGGGGCCCCATGTCTTTTTAATTGAGATCCGGGCTGAAGGAGAAGGCTCTGTGACAGAGTTTGAAAGGAGAACCACAGGATGGGTGCTGAAGTTCTGCTTAGAAGGGGCACACACTCACTTCTGCTCATATTTCACTGGAGAAGCAAATTCACATGGCCAAGCCTGTAGCCAATGTGGTAACGAATCTAATCCTCCCCCAAAAGGGGTGGTGAAGATTTTGGAATATACAGTCCAGCATAGTAGGCTTCCTCACCCCCATTTGACAGACAGGGAACCTAAGGCCAGGAGATGGTGGTGGGACTAGGATTCAAGTCCACATCTTATGGATTACAAAGTCTATGCTGTTTCTGTAATGCTCGTGGCCTCTGTGGACCCCAGCTTCCTCTTCTCTAGCCGGTGGCGGTGCAGAGGAGATAAGAAACCGTGCGAACCCTGGGCCTGGCTTCCCGAAGCTCGTATAGGGATGATGCTCCCTCTGAAAAAAACCACCAACAGCCATCTGATCCCAAGATGAGAGCAAAGTTGTCCCTCGATGTGCATTAGAAATGCACTGAATTTGTCAGACTTGCTTTAGTTCAAGGACAGTTCTTCAAATATTGATGGGGTCCTGCTTTTACCACCCACACTGTACTCCAGGGATGGTCTGCAACCATAAATGGAACTTTGCTTTGGAAAGTTCAAAGTTTAGATGTGTTTAAGGTATTACTGCTTTCATCATGTTGATTTTTATAAACTACAAATTTGAAGCTTAGAAAGGTAGTAACTTGTCCCAAGTCACACAGCTTGCTAGTAGCAGAGTCCGGCTCCCAAACCCGCTAACCACTGGCTATAGCTTCCCTTGACGTTTGGTTGTGAGATTTATATATAATAAAATGCAGAGATCTTAAGTGTTCAGTGTGATGAGTTTTGTCAACTTTATATATCCATCGTATCTATCACCCAGAGCAAGATTGAGAATATTCCTATCATCCCAGAAAGGTCCTTTGTGCCCCTTTCCCATCAATTCCCCTTGACTTACAGTCATGCCCCGCGAAGGTCATGACTTTCTGATTTTTATCACTGCAGGTTTCACCTGTTCTAGAA